CTAACCTCGACGAGAGAATGCTAACAAGATGCTCAAAATGTTTGAATTCTAATTTTATAGTATTTCTATAAGTGTGTATCATAGAAATAAAGTATACTGTTTTTGGCCCAATTTTTATATCTAATATTATATGGTTACTTTAAATAAAAATTATCTCCAGAATAAAGTTTTATTATAATAAATTCATTTATTATAATATATTCATTGACCCTCTTGGATAAATGAACAAGTGGTTATTTTAACAATATTATCTATAAATAAAATAAAATAAAAATATATTATTTAGTAAGAATATGTACAAATAACGAACTTTCTATTACAATTAATCATTAAGTGTCTTTTATATATATATATATATTTTTTTTTCAAGAAATTTATTAAAAATTTATGTACATCATAAGTTTTGAATAAATTGAGAATTTTACTGAAAGCTTTTAAAAGAAAATTTGGATATTCTGGCGTTTATCACAACGATATTAAGCCAGCTGGTGGCCGGAAATTAGGATTGAGCTGGCAACACGACTCGTTCCACCAATACCCGGGCAACCTTGTTACCTTAATAGACTATTAATACGAATCGTCGGTTTACAGGCTTGACTGGTTTCAACACGATCTTGGATGCCGCTCAACCGTCACCTGCCAACTATTCGAAAGGTAACAGTCTCCTATGTGCTTACTTATATCATCGTGTACACGACATCGTGACAACGGTTATTTAGCGAAATTGGGTCGAAATCGAAGCGAACATAGGTTCTTTGTGAAATCCTGATTTGATGGTTAAGCTTTTTTTCTTGATCAATATTTTTTGATCAAATATAATTGATTTTAAAAAACGGTGATTGATTTTGCAATATTTTATAGAAAATATAAAATATCTAAATACAAAATATATTGTATTAATACTATTTCGTAAAAATACATTTTAAAAAAATAATTGATTATTCCTTCACTGTCATAGTATTTTCATCAGATTCGTTACAAATGAGATTAATTTATTTATGCTACAATTTTACAGATATTATTTGAAAAAAGAATAAAAATAATAATAATTGAAATTATAATTATTAAAGATATTGTTTAATTATCTTTTAATAATGATGATATGGAAAGGCAAAATTAATGACCCATTAGCCGTAGAAGATTCCTCGGTAGGCTGATGAGGATTCGTGAACAAACATACATATTTACACGGGTAGAGGAGCGTTAGTTGGATGATAAATCGGGATCGTCTTTTGCGAAACGTTTTTGGCTAGGCTCATTAGTTACGATTCAAGATTTGGCATCGATTCTCGACATCCAATTTCGTATTTCGAACGATAATTTGTCGATTTTGCTGTATTCAAAAGTATCGGCACACTTACACATTTTCTATGAAATTCTCTTTTTTTTATCTTAATTTTTATTTTATTACTTATCATTGTTCAATTATATTTTGTTAATATATTATTATAATAATGTGAAATGGATTATTCGTTATAATTATTGGTCTTTAATTTTCAAAGCAAAAAAAAAAATTTGAATCACAATTTTATTTATAATCAACTTAGAAATAACTGCAAGAAACTTTTTTAATAACAAATAATGCATAATCATATTGAATATTCTTCTCTAAAATAATTCAACATCAAAGAATTATCATAATTATTTTACGAATCATTTAAAATCAAACAAGTTTTAATAATTAAGGGAGAAAAAAATTTGTCGAATTAAAAAGCTAGGTTATGTTAACTCTATCTTTTCTATTGTATTCCTATATAAATTAAAGTATCTTATAAAATAAAATTACTTATAGAATAATCTATATAATATTTCTAATTATATATGAAATTATTTAAACAAAAGAAATTATCGAAATTACGTACGTATTTTCGTTTCATTTCCGACAGGTTCGATCCAGAAATTTCTTGAAACGAAGCAAGAATGTCCGAGTGAAATCGTTTTAAACGACGGTGTGTCGAATGGAGAGAGAGAGAGAGAGAGAGAAAGAGAGAGAGAAAGAAAAAAAAACAAGAGAAAAACACGGGGGAAAAATATAATCGAGAGTGTGCTCGAAACGTTTTTACGCCCTGGTTACACTGGTCGGCAGTGAGTAAACGTTTTCAGCGACAACGCGGCCATTTGTGTTAAAACTGTTTGCCGATGTTGAAATAATTTTTTAAGCGTGCCCGGCAAACAGTGAATAAATTTGCATCGAGCTGTGTTACGATATCGGACACGTTTTTTTATCTGGCGTAATGATCGCGCATGTTTGATGGCCGAACGGTGTATCGTGTCAGTGTAATCAGAACGATTAAATTAAATCAATAATATATATCCCGTAATTTCGTTAAATAACTCTGCTGTAGCGCCTGTAAATTCCTCAAGATACCAGAAAAATTTGATCGATGGAACATTTCTATGATCGATATTGAAAATTGAGATTTCATCATTTTCTATTCTTAAAGGAATCTTGTGTACATTGATCTTGAAATAATATATGTCATAGGATCAATAATCGTATTTATTATTTGGCAATATTATTCTTAATTATATATTTTAATATCATTTCAATGATATTGAGAATAATATTATTATTTATTCTCAATAATATTTGTTAGATTAGACGCTAATTTTTAGTAATGATTAGCACGTTTATCTAAACTAAATTGTAGATTTTTATGCAAATACATATAACACCAATGTGAATGGCAATTAAGTTTAAACGCTTTATCTATATAGAAGAGATAGGAAATGGTCAAATATATTCCATTATATCTTACGATATGAAACGATCTGTTTCAATTCAATTTTTTTGCAAACGAGCAATTTATCAGAAATCTATGAAAAAAGTATTTATACATAACATTGTAATATCAAACTTTGATAAATAAGTAATATAATAATAAAATTATTATTATAAATTCTACACGCAATTCATATGTTTTTGAATTTGCTTTGCTCGCATAAAAATTCGCAATTTCATTAATCAATGTTGACAATATTACCTCTATCCGTTTACCTCTATCCTTTCTAATGATCGATAAAAAATGAAATTAACACTGTGTATTAAATGTATAATATTTCTGTTCATAAATTCAACTAAACAGGTATCTCGTGTTATATGAATATGTAACAACCGAATATCTATACTTATGTATATTTATATACTTTTATTTTTATTTTTATTTATTCGCATATTTACGCGGAATAAATTAAGAAACATTATACAATACCATTCTACGAACATATATATATAAAATAATAGATAACTTATTCAAAAGCTAATAATAAAAATACATCCAATTATGATATACCAATGTATCTATATAAATAATAAGTATTTATATTAATAGATTCAAATTTTATCAAATTTTGTTTCTAATAGTAACAAAATATTATTAATTATAACAAATTAGATATATTTTCAATTTCAATATAATTATCTATTTTATCCTTGGAAAAATCAATATCCAATAACCTAATTTTCCATTCTTCGAAGTATCGAAAAGTCGAAGATTAATTTTCGCCTTCGATCGTTTTCTTATCGAGCGGATCGATCGTTTTGTCCTGTTCTGGTCGAATTCATAAACGGTCGAAAACAATAAAATGGTTTTTGCATCGGTCGGGTCATTCGGTTATTCGCGTGTAAGCTGATAACAGCCTACATAAACGAGTCATCGAACACTGGGCTCATTCACACGACTGTCCTCCGCCTGTTGACCACCCACGACATCGATCATTCAACCGTTCTCGAGCTCGAACCGAGCTGAATGGAGATTTCCAAACTCATTGAACAAATATAGAACAAATGGGATCCGTGTACCGTGCCATTTATCGATTCAAAACGATCGAACAATGCGAATATTCGATCGATCGAAAATTATCTTTTTCTTTTTTTCTTTTTTTGAACTTGAGAGAAATTGAATATTATTACTATTGACTTTATTACTATTGACTTTTTCTTAAATATTCTTAGATTTCATTCAAGTCAGATTAGATTAAATTAGGTTAACACTTCTATGTAACTTAACCTAAAATAAGTAAAAATTTATAGGTTATAATTTGAATCAGATTAAGTTAAATTAAGTTAGGTTAGGTCTCGCATTGAGAGTGAAAATTATTACATCAGCTCCTTCAAGATAAACAAGGTCATCGAAACCAATTCTTGAGAAGGTCGTGTAGCGATCAAGGATTAATATTTGTTTTTCTTTTTTGAATTGGTGCTCGAGGAAAGCACAGTCCTCGTGAGGTACTCGTGAACTTGAGAGAAATTGAATATTATGACTATTGACTTTAGTTTCTTAAATATTCTTAACTTTCATTCAAGTCAGATTAGATTAAGTTAGGTTAGCATTTCTATGTAACTTGACCTAAAATAAGTAAAACTTTATAAGTTGTAGTTTGAATCAGATTAAGTTAAATTAAATTAGGTTAGGTCTCGTATTGAGAGTGAAAATTATTACATCAGCTCCTTCAAGATAAACAAGGTCATCGAAACCAATTCTTGAGAAGGTCGTGTAGCGATCAAGGATTAATATTTGTTTTTCTTTTTTGAATTGGTGCTCGAGGAAAGCACAGTCCTCGTGAGGTACTCGTGAACTTGAGAGAAATTGAATATTATGACTATTGACTTTAGTTTCTTAAATATTCTTAACTTTCATTCAAGTCAGATTAGATTAAGTTAGGTTAGCATTTCTATGTAACTTGACCTAAAATAAGTAAAACTTTATAAGTTGTAGTTTGAATCAGATTAAGTTAAATTAAATTAGGTTAGGTCTCGTATTGAGAGTGAAAATTATTACATCAGCTCCTTCAAGATAAACAAGGTCATCGAAACCAATTCTTGAGAAGGTCGTGTAGCGATCAAGGATTAATATTTTTTTTTCTTTTTTGAATGTTCGAGGAAAGCACAGTCCTCGTGAGGTGCTCGTAAACATTGACGCGACACAACGCGTACCCTGTTCATTTCTCTCTTTTTCTTTCTTTCTTTCTTTTCTCGAAGCCGTGTTACACGTCTGGTTGAACGAGAAGGAAGGAAGGAAGAGAGCGTAGCACGGTGGTCGTCGAGTGGGCGATTTCGTCTGGACCCGGTGGTTTGCAGCGTATGTCGCCTGTAGCCGGGTCAGGATGCAATGAACGGGCCCCCAGGTAACCGTACAGGTACGTACAGAATCGACAACGACGACAAGGGTGCCCCGGTGGTGAATGGCTCAGACGAGGACCTCGTTAACTATGGCCTTGGCGCCGTTCGAGATGCCCGCTTTGATATCGCGGCTCTGAAAACTGAACAACCGGGCTCGTGGCGCGCTCTCTCACCTTCGTCCTTCTCCTTTTTTCCTCTCCCTCTCCCTTTTACTCAGGGAGAAATCGATCGATCGATCACAGGATCTTTCTTTCTGGTGGAGTCGAAGAAAGGTGTATATTCTGAATTATCGTTGAGAATAATGCATATATATTTCAAAAGTAGCGTTTAAAATTAAAATCTGAAAAGAAGAGAAACTCTTTAAGTTTCCTCAAATTACCATATATCATAGAGAAGCTTTATTTTAATTTGCTGAAATTTCGAATAACTTGTCAATGATATAGTTTATAATTGTCAGATAATGTTATAAATATATTCATATACTTACGTTAGTTGCATATAACTATAATAATATACTTCCATATCCACTTATATTAATCACATATAAGAATATATGATTTATTGTAACGTAATCTGAAAAAAAACAAGCAATTAAAAACAATTGAATGATCCAAAATAATATAATTGGCTCATTAATTTTAATATTCATACAAATTTATGTAATATGCTTTCAATATTGTATTCCTAACCTATAAAATATATAAATATCTTAAGTAAAGATATACAAAAAAGGCTTTAAGACAACATAAAAATATCTTTTATTTTTTTCAATATAATAATTTAAAAATTTTTATCAGCCATTATACGATATCTAACTTTCTTCCTCTTCACAAATATAAGAAGATCAAAAAGATAGTAAGAAAAGAGGAAGAGAGAGACAGAAAGAAAGAGAATCGCCAAAGCCACCATTCACACGAGGGTCCCCAGAGTACCTGGAAACGGTGCTAATGATATGCTTGGGTCCCTGGTGAATGGAACCTTTCGGGAATTCTCCGACGGTTTCGTAGAATTAGGAATTCCGAGGACGGGTTCCTCTCCCTTTCTTTCTGACCTCCATGTCTCCAGAACAGGGCTGACTCCATAAAGAGGCGGTTAGCAGAGGTGGATGGACCACTTTGTGGGAAACGGTTCTTTCCTTTCTCCATCTAAATCGAGCCTTCTTTTTCTCTCTCTATATCTCATTTTCCTTCTCATTTCTTTATTCGTGTCTTTAACTATTCTCTTAACTATTCTCTCAATTTTCTTTTCACTCTTTTACTTGTATTTACATCTTCTATTCTTCTCTTCTTTCATCTTCTTTCATCGCATCCATATTTTCTGTCATTTTCACTCTTTTCATTCGCACATATGTTTCGTATTTTTCTATTCGCATTTTTCTATTCTCTTCTCCTTTTCTCATTCTTCTATTCATATCTACACCTTTCTTTTTCTCATCTATTTATATTTACATTTCTTTTCCTTCTCCTTCTCGTTATTTATACTTATATTTTCTCTCCTTCATTTTTACTTACACGTATATCTTCTCCATTCATTCCTCCCTCATATTTTTTCTCTCTCACCCTTCTATTCACATCTATTCACATTTCTCTCTTGCTCTTATATTTGTATCTACTTATCTTCTCTCTTTCTCGTTTCTCTTATTCGTACTTACCGTCCGCCTCTCACTCCTCCTGAACGTCACCGCTCGAGGCTGAGATTTATAAGCGCGAACGAGCGTTTCAGGGACGAGCTCGTTCTCGAATGGGAACAATTTAGAAGAATAAGGACGCGCCAGCACGGAAAAGGGAGGAGAACCGTCAAATCTTCTGCAAAAATTGCTCCACGCGATTGTGCTCGCCACTCTGAATCACCGGAGAGATCGCAACGAGTCGAGTTTATTCGTCTCGATCGAAGGACGATTCCTTTGTAACGACACGCATACATTCGCCATTGCGGTTACCTTTATCCCTGTTATTTCGTCCAATAAGCGTATTTTCCATTTCCCTTCGATTCACAGTGATCACTTGATCTCGTTTTATTTTATTATTTTCCGAGAAGAGAGAGAAAGGTTATGTCGCGAGCAAAAGAAGGTTATTTCATTCACTTCTGAAGGCAACTTGATCAAAGTGGATTTCGATGGGTTAGGAGAAATAGAAAACAGGTTTAACGGATACTTCTTGATACCGCGGGAGCGTCAATTGTTTTATAGGCTGTTCCCTTTTTCCTCTTTGATCGTGTCTCTTCGCCAGACCCACCGACACTCTCGATTTCGTCGCTTTTTACATGGTTGTTAAGTTGGCCACTGCCGCCAAGGTGGCGCCACCTTGTACCATGCTTGCCTCTACACTGCAAGTAAAACAAAAACTGTCCTCGTCCTATTGGATTATTTTACGTACGTTCGACTACCTTTGAGGCGGTCCGAAAGAAATTCTCGTTCCCATTCTTCAGAGATTTAAGAGTCCCGATCTTGATTTGTACTCGAGTCAAAACCAACTCGTAGAAACTTCGTTCTTTTTATATGAATCCTGACCTGAAGAAACTTAAATTGTCTAAAAGAAATATAATTATTTCGAGCTATTCGTTTTAAATATTGCATTCTTAAATATTCTTAATTAATAAAAAAGATTAAAGTAATTTGAACAAACACTAACTATGATATAGTATTCATCCAAATAAAGTAAAAATAAACAAAAAAAAAAGGAACAATTTTTTAACGTCAGTTATAAAATATTCCTTCTATTCATTGATCAAGACATTGAATAATAAATTCATACAATTTAGTTTATTATTCAATAAAAATAAAATGATTCAAAGCAATGCTTTTCAATAAAAATAAAATAAAATAAAATTAAACTCGACACCATTCAAATTTACAACTATACTTCTATTCCAAATCATAAAATATTCTTCCAATTCTTACATTCATTAATCACGATACGATTACATTCCTAACCTATAAAAACAATCTTAAAAATAATCCAATGCATTAGTGGTAACTCACCAAACCATATCACGAAATCAATCACAATTCACGAGTTCAATGAATGAACCTAACCCAACCTAATGAAATTTCGAACAATTTTTCAATTTTCCAATGATTACCTGTGATCTCTGAAAGTTATCTCACTATAGCACGTATTCAAAACAGGATACTGGAATCCGACGAGCGGAAGTGGTCGGTAAGCGCGGTCTCGTTTGATCGACGACATTCTACATCGAAATCACAGACTCGGTTCACGGAAATGGAAAAAGGACGAAGCATTGCTTTTCGAGGGAGGATGCTCGCAGCTTTTCGCCCGCTTCTTTTCGTTTCCCCTCTTGCTAACGAACCTATAAATACACGACGCTTTGAAGCGGCTTGTGACTGGCGCGCACGCGATTGAATAACCGGAAAGGCATCGCGAGAGGCTTCTGTAGCGATGTTCCGATAATTATAGAGACACTGAGCGCCGATAATGAGCACTCTTGTTCCGCGAACATTAATTGAACAAGGGCCACGCCTTTCAACGTGCCACTTTATATATCGTTGATTATAATCGGATAATCGTTTAAAATGAAATATTGAGATTTGTTTATTCTTTGTCAAAGCAAAATTTTTCTCTTATAGTAGAAAATTTCAAAAGTTGATGATATTGTTAAGAACAGCTACAATGTGGAATATCGTGGCCAAAGAAATGACAACATTCGATTTAACGAAGTCGCTTTCTGGATACGGAGCGGAATGATCGCATTTTCTCTTTCCTCCTCGAACGAATATCACATAATATCGTATTAGTAAATAAATTGATATCGTATAAATAATTACAAGTAAATTGAATTATTATTGTAAAAAAGAATTTGTAAATAAAAAAAACATAATAAGTATTTTGAGTATTATTAATATGAGTACTATGGCATTGTTTAAAATAAAATATAAAATGTAATATGTTCTTTAAAAAGATTGAGCTGGAATATTTAATATTTTGAGTTGACACTGGCATAAGAATAGTTAGATATCTCTTTACTTAGGATAAAATTGATATAAATTGGTGTTATTGAATTGAATCATTATTATTTAGAATATTTGGAATTCTTTTACTAGAAATTTATTTTTTGAAAATTTTAATTACAAAAGAATTTTTACTTAAAAATTTTTCACAACTTCTCACCAAAAAATTTCAAATCCAATTTATCTGCTAATTAATTTGTATTAAAAAACTTGCAATTTTATTGTTAAAAAATTATTAGGCTCAAAATTAATATTAAAATTGGAAATTGAAAAGTTCTTGAAAGTTTCAAAAAAATTAATTGTTCATATTATATCACGATAAAAATAAATTTGGTTAAATCACGAATTCCAAGTTGTTTCATACATGATGTTTACACGAATTCTACTTGACAAGGAACAACAGGAATTGCAATTTGAAGATAACGACCTCGTTAGCGAGACCATTCTCCCGTAAAATAGCGGTCTCCATTCTTTTCGCGTTCTATCCCCCCCTCCTTTTCCTTTTTTTAAATATCTATCAGTTGAATCAAATTAGTCTTTCCTGTTAAAAAGAAGACTAGTTTTAAAACCAGTCAAGAATTAAGTATAACATTTCGCAAACTTTGCACAAGTTTAAGTTTATCTCGTATTAAACGAGCCTTGACCAACCTTGTTGAGCTAATGCACTCTCGTAGTAACTTTTTTTTTAAATTTTATTCTATACATATATATATATTATTTTGCTTTTTTTATCGATTAATATTTGTGATAAGAGTAAAATTTGCGAATAAAATTAAATCTTAAATGTACGTTAATAACAAATTATGTGCCAACATAACCTATATATTAAGAAACGGGGGACAGTTGTTCAAGACATTTATCATTTTTTTACATTCGATGTTTATAACTCAATCGTTGGCAAGAAATATATAAAGTTACGTTTTATTGGAAGTACAAACACAATTATTGTTGGATAATAATTTTAATTTATCTTACCTTTTTCCCTTATTTCTTATAAAAATAATAATAGAAGTACGATATTTCTTCGAGATACTTTCGTTTAAAATTCGTAAAAAGTCAACCATCTCAAGAAGTATATTGTCATCAAAATATTTATCGAAACGATATCCTGTTTCCGGATCGAATTCGTCAAAGCTTCGACACATCGTTTGCGATCCTCGTCACCTTCGGCCCCCACGGTCAAGCTTAAGTTTGTTTGCCCCGTGGATCTGAGGTGACTGATCACCTCCGAAACCGAGAAGGGTTTTCGCGGCAAATCCTCGAGGACAGGGGTCGCGGTCGTGGCTTACGTGGCATCGTGGTCAAATACCGTCCTTATAGATCGACGACAGGCCCTCTTAGGCGTGAAGCCTTTGCTGCGAAGAAGCAAATATAAATCTCCTTGACTCCATTACGAGTATATATATATATATAGGATATTAATATATTACAGTAGGCATCCTTTGAAGCATCGATTCTAGAGATCAAGATGAGGACAAAAGTTGATATGTAAGAAATTCGATTGCTTTAAATTCCGTTCCGTAAATAATATTGTTTAAAATACTTGTAACATTATAACATAGTAAAAAATTAAATACAATATGATAATTACACACAAAAATAATAATTAATATTATTATATTAAAATTCTAAAGCTTATTAAAAGAATTATTAAAGTCTTTGAAAATGCAAACAATTTAGAGAAAAAAAAGTTAGGTTATATTGACACGATCTATCGAAATTATTCATTATGTATATTATATATATACATGTTATAAAATTCTTCTAGTTGATATTCGACCAATCGAATATGTATCACTCATAAATAAAATGAATCGAAGCTGCACCAAATTAATTCGAACATTTAATATTCACCATCTTCTGTCGCACAGCACACGAATACGAACGCGACTAGAGGGCGCTCGACACGTCTCTCCAAATCTTCAGATCCGAACGTTCCTCCTATTTATAGACCTTGCGTATTCCACTATGTGCAGATATCGTTTCACCGACTGTGACATACGATCCGAGTTTATCAAAGTCCGTGAACGGGCTAATTTTTAATCGACCAAGACCACGTTCAAGGGAGAGTAACTTCTCTCTTTCTTTCTCTCTCTTTCTCTCTCTTTCTCTCTTTCCAGAAGAGGGCGTTCTGGTTTGGGAAGGTGGGAAGAGAGGATCGGCCGATACCGCCACTTAATGCCGCGGCTCGAAATTAATTAAACTTTTGCGTTCGTCGAGAGAGAGAGGGGGGAAGGAAGGGGTGGAAATAAAACGTTGATGACACGGCAAGCCCGATTCCGCAAAGCTCGACCCTGCCTCCGACACCTCCTTAATGGGAAAAAGGTAAACGAATTCTCACGCTGTTTCCCATCGGTCTGATAAAATAAAACGGAGTTTCTCTCTCTCTCTCTCTCTCTCTCTCTCTTTCTCGTTCCGATTCGACGCCAACGAGCGAAGAACGAGGCGGTAAATCGGTGCGAAAAGGGGTTGACGCACCCTTATTTTTTTTTATCGAGGTATTGAACGATGGAAAATTTGGCTGACAGGTGAAGTCGATGCGATTATTTGTATAATACGTGCAAATAGTTGGCCAATAATCATTTATAGTTACATTGAGGGGTACAAATTTTTGTACGACTAACCTAATCTAATTTAAAACTAATCTTTAAAAATTCTAATTCTTCAAAAGTTTAAAAGTTCTTCTTGTTTCTGCATCTTAATTAAAAAATTAAAAAATTCCTTTTTCCAGTGTTTTTCTTTATTTACTTGTAATTAAAAATCTCAAATTAAAAGAATAAATAATTAATAATACACTGTATGTGATATTGAAATAATTAATTTAACCTAATTAATTTAATTCAAAATTTAATTCAAAAATTTAAAAATTTTTTTTCTAACTGTTTTCTTACTTACTTCTAACCTCAAATTCAAAAGCGTTTTGAATTGAGATGATTGAAATGATAATATATTTTTAGTATCTGAATAATCTTCAAAAACATTTTGTTCCACAATCAAAAAAGAAACAAGTACTCCATATTAAAATTGTCTTTGCACAAATCAATATAATCATAAAATTTGAACCAACAACGAACCAAAACTGTCAATAACACGGTCCAATAGAAAGAATAAAACCTGCATTCTTCTCCATTCTTTTTCCCCAAGTATATTAAAAAATAAAAATACTTCTTCTGCACGAGAATCCAAGGCACAAAGCAAGAAAATTCATTTGTATCGAGCTGTTGTACACGTGGTCGTGTCGCATTCTCGGCTTTAATGGATCGCGCGTATTGCAACGAAGTTGTCAAAGGTGGAATCGCGGCTTCAAAGCGATCGTGGGACGCTTGTTCTCCTAGGAAAAGGCATCTACGCACCGGCACCGATAACTCATCGGGACCTGTGCCCTTAGTACGAGCCATCACCGTGAGAGGGCCGGAATGATTAATGAACGAGCGCGAAATGTACTCGGATTAGCGTGGTCCGAGGCTTGTTTCTGCGCGCAACTTGTAACAAAGATTCTTTTCATCATCCGGATATTTCTAGGCCGTTTAATGGACCGGACACGCTGCAGGAAATGTACTGGCCCCCTTGTATCGAGGGATCGAACTGTGCTCCGCTTCTGGTAAACTAATAACGATAGAGGGCGCAGAGAAAGTGTATTCACTCTCCGCTTAGCTTGCATTTGTTCTGAAAAGACGGTTAACCTAAATTATATTCTCAGAAAATTAACAAATGATGTGTTATATATTCATCATAATATAAAAATTGTTCTCCATTTCTTCGTGACGAGTATATTTATTGTATTTATTTGAGACTGTCACGTGTAACAATAATTTTATGTATATATATATATATATATGTATTGTATATTCTTTAGAAATTTCGAATCCAGAGAAATCAGTTTATTCTTTCAGGACAAGGAATAGGAAAATATATAAATTTGATTTGTATAAAAGTGTTTTGAGCTTTGATCTTCAAGTTTTAAATAAGGTTAGGATGCCTTTATTTAGATATCTAGAATCTAGGGATTTGATTTATTTCTTCTAATAAAAAGATTACAAGGAAAGTAATAAAAAAAATTCAGTTTCGTTGCATATGACATTTTGCTTTAAATAGGATAGAATAAAAGCTCTTTGCAATGCCTACATTTTAACAAAAAAATATTTTTGAGAATACAGAACGGTAAAAGTCGTGATCGAGATTTATTACATATATCTTTTTCTTTGCACATTGGAATGATAGTTAATGATTAATGAACGTGCTAGAAGCAGAAACGAAATATTGAATTATTCTTCGTTTGACCGATATTCATTGATGCGCACTATTAGTTACGATAGAAGTCTTACACAATCACTTGCACGAACATCTCTTTCGTTAAACGAGAACTTTTATATCATCGTTTACGAAATATGATACTTACTCAAAGCAAAAATATACCTAAATCGTTTCTAACAATATATACGTATATACGTTCGATCGCAAGCATTAAATATTAATTTTGCGAAAAGCACTTTTACATTTTTGAAAAAACGAAAAATCTGATTTTCTCGCATTCGATCAAACGTTCCGAGAATCATCTCGTTTAGTCATTCGCACACGACACAGCGCGTTTTCATTCGCTTATAGCCTTCTATGAGACGCGATTAATCCCACGATTAGTCTTTATCAGAGGGCTACCGTATCCGTTTCGAGGTTAGTCAGACAAATCTAGCAAGTTTTTCCTGCGTCGTTTGATCTTCGACCATCCTAATCCTACTCCTCTTTTGAGATCGCAATTCGTCGACGCCTCGTTCCTTTAACTGATTTCTAACCTCTGCGAGGCAAAGCTCGGCT